CCACAAGAGCGGTCCGAAGGATTAATCGCAGCTACTATCATGGGGAAAAGAGCTGGAGGGACCATCAAGGGGGATGGAGACGCGAATAAAAGCCTGATGGGACTCGGGCTGAGGGAGAGGAGAGCTAATATCACAAACTGTGACTAAGCAAGGCAGATTTCACATAGCTCGGAATTCCGAGCTATAGGTATATTGGGATTTCACATGACGCACACTAGTGCACCATAGGTTATTATGTTTACCTGTTCGTGACTCACATTTGTGAGTCACACGATGTTATGATTTTCGCACATGACCCAAATTATGAGTCATGGGTTTCACTCAGGTGACGTGAGTTGCACACCTGACTTGGTTATTATGTTTTGATTGGTTTTAGGTATGTTGCGCAGCAACTCATAGGAGTCAGCTGAGGGATTTGGCATGACTCATAGTTATGAGTCACAAGGTTCGCGTGATGCATAAATATGAGTCACACTAGGTGAAGAGCTACTATATAAAGGGTCACTAGGATCCCTAGTATTAGCTCTTCACACGTTCTTCTTGTTTATTTCCTACCTTTATATTTTATACAAATAAAACCTACCTTTACGCTCTTTAACCTTTATATCACCTTAAACAAGAAAACTAATTCTCGTCCTACGAACTACACCTAAGTCCTAGACGAGGACTTAGGAAGATCAAGGGGAATAGGCGCGATACAGTAGAAGTCAAAGGACTTGACTATCAACGTCGCGTAGGCATAGGCCTAAGAACTATTACCTCGCCTCAAGTAAGAATCGTTACCTGTCGCGTTACTCACCCGACCGGTAGGATTCTTAACATAGGGATACACATACTACAGGTTGACGTTATGGCTGCGGGATCGGTATTGCACTGTCTCAGGGTTCAATTTAGTCAGTCGGCTCAGATGCACTCAAAGGGGGCGCTGGCACACCCTGGTCGGATACTCCCTGATGCTACGAATGTACTGAAAGGTTCTCTCATGTTTACCTTCCTGCTTTGCAATGGCAGAGCTGGGAGAAAACTGTGGGATGATGTCATATCAAGGAGGTTTCTTTTCTTTAAGTTTCCTTTGTATTTCCTTTCTCAAGAGAATACGGTGTGGGTTTTCTTGTAGCCTTCTGCCAGTGCTTTGAGGATTGTGGCTTTGTGGGTATGGAGCGGGGCTATGGTTTTCTTGGTGCAGGATGTGCGGTTGGTCCCATACCAGAGGGACTTGGGGTGGCTTGTTTTTCCCTAGGCCTGCGGAGGAGGTTTTTGACCGACATGTCTCAGGACCAAAACCAGGGTGTGGGGTGGTTATTACAGAGATGTCCTGGTGGAAAGATCCATGTTTTAGCCAGGCTGCGCCTTTAAAGCGGAGGTTTGCACCTAAGTAAGCAACTAAATTCTAGGATTTAACAAAAAAAAAAAAAACGAGTACAGTACCGTACCATAGATCTATGATCTGCAGATATGGGACTAACCGAGATCGAGGCTCTAATGTCCAGTAATGACCACCATAGCATTCCATGGGTATTGCCGCTTGGACTCGAGTACGAGTAGATGGATTTTGGGGCGTGCTTGGATCCGACAAGTTGTATACCCGTAAAGTTGTACTTGCCGTTTTCAAAAGTATCCGGATGTCCGGCCTAGCTTGGCATTTATCGGTCCTTTCGCTCAACAGAAAGGATCGATAAGAATACCAAGGAGAAAAAAATCTGAAAATCAGTACAGGTGCTTGAGGAGTGCTGTTAGGTATCTTAGTGCTTTTTTTAAAAAAAAAATCGCTCTTAGCTCAATATGGGCACATAATACAGTGGATAGTGTAGTTCATTTTGCTGCCAAGCCAATCTCCTGATATCCGGATACTTCTGAAAAAGGCAAGTATACCGGTAATACTCCAAGCGTCCCGGACACCAAAGGAGCTGTACCGGTGCTCGTACAGCACTCGGATCCCCATTCATCGGTACCCGAAAACAGAGATTACGGCAAAGCTATTCCCCTTGTTTACTCGAATACAAACTCGTGCCCAAGGAAGCGAGGACTTGTGCGGGTGCCTCTACCAATTAGTTGCCGGTCCTTGTACGCCAGGTTGTTCCGTGAACAACTCCCAGTGAATGGCCCGCTCTCGAGGGGGATGGTTGCAAAAAGAAGAAATCCCGAGAAATCCTAGGGACCTCCCATTCACCGGAACGGCATCTCTAGTAGTATCGCCCATACCCGTGTAGGACTGTCTTAACAGATTTACTCTCTCACCAAAGCATAATGTTACACTCTTGAGAATAGCCTCTCTTTGAGAAGGGATACTGCCAACTCCTCTGCTGAAGTTGTCTAAATAATGAATTCGAATTGAGATATCATTTTTTTTTTTTCACCTATTGTCCTCCAGGAAGTTGTTGTAGTGATTAGAGTCAGTGGGTTGGGGATGTTGCACTGCATCAAATAGCCCTTTGCAACAACATGATTCCAGCCATTGATTTTGGATGCATTGGATAAAAGTGAGATAGCAATCATTAGAGGCTTTCAAGAGGGGTTCCATACAAAAACCCGCCAAAGGAATTATTTTTAAAAGGGTTTTCTCAAAATCAATGTTAAATAAAAATACTTCGGTGTGTCCTGGCTTCCCAGGTCTTGGTTGTCCGGCCCTACTCGTATGCACGTCGGCAATTTCCGGAGAGAAAAGAAGGACAGTTTCCTCTTTCGACAACAAAATTCACTCACTGATTGCCTTTCTTTCACCGAGCAGCCCCTCAAACCTCTGTATCTATCAATTCCCATAAAAACGGATATCGGGGATTGGAATTGTTTCAAGAGGGCACACGGAAACTCTCACGACAGTCACTACAGATAAACAAGCTGATCCCGGGAAACCGGTACCGTAGAGTATCTCGCACAACACGGAATGTGTTGGAAATTGAATACACCTTCTAGCAAGATGCGATGTAGCTTATCGTGTTTGTTGTTTGGGTATTGGTCAAGATCTAGGACAGATGACTCGTACTGTTCCGGCATTTGGTTCGGGGAGCAGTGGTGTTGTCCTCGAGGGTTGCCTCCTCCAAAATTGGATCAGCCGAATACCGTAACCCGATAGGACGGCCCCTTTCATTTGTTGTGCCGGGATATCGGTAGCCTTCCGCACTCATACAAGCAAGCCGAAGCTGGAATTCTACGGGAGCCCCTAGTTGCCTGGGTGATGGTGCAAGAACGAGTACGAGTACTGTACAGTACTGTTGGACACCATCCTTCTAAGAGTTCTTAGCATGTTTGCTTTTCTATGCTATGCATAGCTAATTCACACGCCAACTCACTGTGTGCAGCGAGCTCCCCAATTCCGAGTACGGAAGCAATATGTAGGAATGGGGAAAGCGCTCTACCGGTACCGTACTCGAGTACTGTACGAGTAGGAAGAGCGATCGTTTATTATACCATGAAAGACAAGGGTTTCTGTTTAAAATACCATGATACCATGACAGGGGGAGTAAAATTGGACCACTAGTCGTACCGGTAGATGGCAAAGTGAGAGTGCTGTACGGTACTCTGGTTACTTGTACTAATTCCATGGATATTTTTGTTCTTGCAGACTTTCTTTGAACCAGGTGCACTGCACAATTATTTTGGTGTATGAAGAATTTTTGCTCAACTGATGGGTCCTGTACGAGCTGATTTTTAGAGTGTACAGATGCCTTGGCACCCAGCGGTCCTGTCTTGGAGCCAGGGTGTCCAGATACCTTTGAGAGCGGCTAGTACTGCTGCTGGGAGGGCTTCAAAGGAAGCGAATTGCTGGCCAACATTAATCATTGTTGCTTTCGGCATTGTGCGAGTACTTTGGCGTTTGTTGCAAGTTTTTTCTCAAAATATTTACTTAAGTCTGACAATCTTGGCCAACAGAATTTGTAATTAATTCGCCATCTGAGGCAGTGGGTCCAAGTTTACCCCCTGTCATGGGATGTCATGGTACCGTATTTAAACGGAGACCCCTGTTTTCCATAGTACTCGAGTATAATAAACGATTGCTCGAGTCGGAATCCAGTAAGGGAGGGGTTCCCCATATTTGAGTATTGCACATTGTACAGTACTCCAGTGCTTGTATTTCTTTGGCTGCAGGAGCTGAAAGGGAGATTTTTTTTTTTTCTTGACTCGAATTGCGCACTTCGGCATTGCATTTTGCTATGTACGGTAGTCTCAGAAAGGTAATGGCGACCAGTGTGTGATAATTATTCATGCATGATCTACATTCTGAGGACAAGGTTACCGCGCCGTGCCTGTCGTCTTGTTCGGTCGCTGCTGTGCGAGTACCGTGCTTGAACCTTGTCGCCACCACACACCAGATACTTTAATTACAATATACCCACAGTCGTGGATATTGCGGCTGAAGTATTTTTTCGCTCTCTTCTGGACATGTTTCGGATAAGCGTTCAATGTCCTGAGATTAGGATTTGATCGCCCGTGCCACGGCGCGCATCGGGGAGGGTGCGGTGTGCGGCACTGTGATGACGGAGGCACTAAGACACGTAGGGGCCCAATTGCATGTGCGGGGGAAAGGGCCAACTAGCACTTCTACAGTACTAGTACTCGTGCTTTGCCTGTGCTGTAAGAGTACTGTATTCGATTACTAGTATGTATTGGGGTGGCCATTGTTTCCCTTCTTGGGCACAAGTACCATCCTCCGGTGGACAATTCCGGACTCTTGTGGGGGAGAAGCTATTCTGGTTTGCTGTCAGATTATCTGTGTGAAATCCCTGCATGAGCCTACGAGAGGATTAACTTTCCAAGTTAATGAGATTGCGAAAACCAGCCAATGAAATCAAATGCAGCCGGAGGGAAGTGCCTTGTATCGTGTTAGGAAAGCACTAATCCTCCTCAAGAAACTTTTGTCCCCGAATTCCGAGATTAACGACCCGACGGGGATGGCGAATCTCAGGGGTTTTGGGTGTATTCGAATGAAAGAATATTTGCACAGGCACTCTGTATCACTGTTTGTCCTATTGTAACCCCACACCACCCATGCTAGCTTGCGGGAGGATCAAGCCAATGTGCGGATTTGGCTTCCTCAGACTGCTGTTCGTCCCGTCCTTGCCCCAGCCGCTGCTGCCGACGTGGGGCGGTCAGGTGTTTTATTCTGAGCCGCTGGAGTTGTGAATGTCCCGAGGCATTGAACGTTCTACATAAGAATGGAACTCCCCAACCAACTGTAGCCATCTCGAGAAACTGGGAAGCTGGCTCTATTTTCCTCCCCCGGACTCCTCCTTGCAACTCAATCAAAAATGGCTGACTCCGGAACTACCTCTCCACCGCCGCTACCTCCTACCCCCCTGACCGGTTGGGAAGCAATAGATGAACAGCGTAGTTTTTACCATGAGCAGGATTGCCTGTACCCGGGCAACAACCTCGTGAGTGAAAAGCTAAGGAATAGACAGGACGACGAAGTTGTGATTTTCGATTATTCACTCGACCCGGATTATCTGAGCGACGAGAGTGACGAATTTCCCTTGGAGCAGTCTAACGCAGATGATATATTCTTTCGAGTGTCGAAAGAGCAGGTGGGGTCCGACCGATTTAACCAAATAATCAATTTCACCCGAGGGACTCAGCCGGGGGAGGAGGGGACACGGGGACAACGTTTGGCTATTATGTAAGTGTATCTCCCCAGACTCCTCCTTCTCATTGCCCATCCGGGCTATGAAGAATGCTGTGCTGCATACACTCCAATGGGAGTCGAATTTACCTTCCGTGTCCTAACTTTTGAGGGGGGTTTTTCTTCAAGAGACTTTCCCCAATGTTATGATACAAGCGTGAGTTTTTATACGCTGCCGTAATTTATCCTCTAAGGCGGTTTCTTACTAGAAGTAGGATGAGGGTACACTAAACTCGATGGCGGCTGGACTCCACCTTCCAAGCGAACCCGACAGTACTTTCGGGAAAGCACACTCCGGGAGAGTTCTGGGACTTCCTGGTCCTAAGGATTTTAAAACAGGTATTTCATTAAGGGCACCTTTCAAAGAACCATCAGAGGTGCCCAAGTCAGGTCTATCGGAAGGTCGATTCATCCTTTTTGCATCATTTCCATATTTCGGAGAACATGACAGAAACGTTCCATTGGGTGCAAGGAGCGAGCGCGAGAGTGTTAGGCTCTTAGAATTCAAACGCCTGGGAGCTAGGGTTCCCGGCCGTAGAGCCTCGGCGGGTAAGCAGAAGGGCAAGGAGAAGGAGGGGGAAAATGAGAAGGAAGAGGTGGGGGAGGACGAGGTAGAGGAGGAGAGAGATGATATAGGTGATATATTAGTGCATCAGGCACGATATATGATATTTGATAACTGTAAGCCGTACACATTTCCCTACTGAAGACCCAAACATCTTTGCTAAGTGATTTTCGAAGATACTATGGCGACATTCAGGTCCAAGGAGGACAGTGCCAATTGTCGAGTCCCACTTCACCGCTATCAGGAACGCGTCGGTGCCTTTCGTGCAATGATTCATATGATTGCTAATCGTACGGACTTGGAATTATGGACATTGGAGAAGCTTCAAGCCTCCTTATGCAAGCTAGTTAGTCCACCCAAGCCTTGGGTCAAAGGAATCTAGCATTAATTTTGAGGACGATTAGGAGAAGGATATCGATCGAATGATATTAGATGCAAAAACTTACGAGAATACACTAGGGATAGAGATGACTAATGCTGATGAACTGTCACCAGAACAATTGGAAGAAGCAAACAGACTTAGTGGGAGAGAGAGAGAGAGGTGGAGGGAGGATTGCGAGCGGGATAATCTTCAGAGGAGAAAGCAGAGGAAGGTCCGAGACCTACTCGCATCTCTCAACAGGCTTTCGGCTGCTTTTTTCGCTGCTATCAGCGTAGCTGAACGACAGATTGCCATTCTCTCGGATCTACATAGCGTGTTTTCCGCAAGCTGCCGAACAAAAACTAAAGCTAGGGTGGGGGGTGGCTCGTGGCGGCCGAATTCTTTCCACAAGAATATTGTCCTGATCCCTATCCTTTCGGAAAATCGCGAGCAGATATGGCCGAGCACCTTGGATACTATTGACGAGGTGGTTCGAGAGAGGGAATCTTTCATCAAGAAAATCAAGGGGCTGGTAGAAAATTTGGATGTTAGGAGAAAAATTGTATAGTTCTTATATCCGAACTCACGCCAGGAATGCTAACGACTCGACAGTTTTCTGGATTCATGAAGTCTGATCAAGCTAAAGCGGCACCGTCTGAGAGAACAGCCCAGCAAGCTGCAGAGGCTATGAAGGGGACTAAAGATGCTATCGAGAAAACTCATGAGCAACTTATGCAGCAAGTGCAGACGTTATCTGGTTTCACCATTGTGACTACAGCGTTTCTTCCTCTCAGCTTTTGTACTTCGGTATTTTACCTCCTGGTCCTTATATGATTATTTTCTGACAAAATACCCTAACAGTACTACGGCATGGGCACCATAAAGGAATTCGAGAACAAGGTCTCCCTACAAGATTTCTGGCTGGCCACAGGCCCAGTGTTAGTGGGGATATTGCTGCTAACAGCGGTGGTCGTCGGCTGGAAACGCTCAGTAATGAAAACACCCAGAGCTGCTTTGGGAAGGGGATTTCGTTCCGTTGGAAGGAGATTTCTTTCTGTCGGAAGGAATCTATTATGTCTTTCTAACAAGGGAGGGCTGGGTGATGCCGAGAGGGGCGATAACGGCACACAGGCTTCGGGATAGGTCGCACAGCTGGAAATAGCCACGTCTCCAAACCCCACTTCGCAAAACTATGGGGCGTAAAGAACCTGATCGTCAACTCTGCTCTTCCATCAAGAGAGCAGCAGTGGCAACTATTGCGATCTGAAAAGTAAGGACTGGGGAAATCGCGAGGTGGACAAGAGCTGTAACCCCCAAACTCTGTCTGTGCCCTAGAGGAAGTAGTGGAAATCTCCGGGTTGAAGGATACCTGGACTGAGAGAAGATTTGTTTCTTTAATAAGTATTTTTAAACCCCATTTTGTTAATTATGCTTGATGAGGTGAGGGGGCTACTTATAGGATTGTATATTTTATTACTAGCTGTCTGGAGATATGTACGGTTATCAAAGGTGGTGACGGGACGGGCCTTTGTATGGTGACATTATTTAAAGAATACTATGGCTAGCCACCCTAAAAGCATTGTGTTTGGACAAGAAGGTGAAGATTTTTATACTATTCATTACCCCTTTCGATGCGTCGGGAGCACATGGCCTATAGGGCAGGGGACAATATTCGTGTCATATTACCCATGCATGCCCCCTTGAACGTTTACGCGACTCTTTGCCAGAGTTCAAATAATAATCTACGTTACTATATCTCATACCATGATACCCGACCAAACTTTGCATCAAGGGTAAAATACCTGAGAATTGTATCTTGTACTGTGAGCCCTGGTACTGGGCAGTTGTACTTTTGCCTTGTGGGTTTATACCACAAAGAGCAGGGGCTAATATTGGGCTCATATAACAAGTAGATGTTGGGCAACTAGGAGGAAGAGATTGGGGAATGGCTGGGCAAAGGATTTGGAGATGAGGTTTGGGTAGAATATATTAAACGTTGATCGAGGAAGAGGAGCGATAGCGAAACGAATGAATGAACAGCGAAACGCCCAAACGAAACGCCAAGAGTTCATACAAACTAAGTGATCGCACAACTCAGGAGCGGGAAAAACTCATCACTTCAGCTTCTACACCTCAACTAACGGTAGAGATATATCAGTAGTAATAACAACCAAGTCCTATCCTTACAGGTATGTCCCCAACCCGCCTGCAAACAAAAGATAACAAAGGAAAGAAAAACTCCCATTGTCCATAGCCCCTGGACACCTGACTTTCCGACCTTATGGCCCTTCCGCTTTTCCTTACGGCCTTTCCGCTCTCTTCATAGCCTTTCCACGTTGCTTCCGGTGGATTCATAGATCCAATAATTCCCATGCATTCCTACAGCTGAAATGCTTTCTCGAAAAATTTAAAGACATGCCCGAAGCCAAAGCGCGTTCCCGGAGACTATGCGAACAAATAAACTATCGTGAGAGTATGCCGAGCAGCACCTCGCTCTTTCCAACAGAATATAAGGAGTATTATGTATAGGCAGTGCTACAGAGGAGGTGCCGAATCGGATCCCAGATTCTTATCCCCAGTGTCGGAAGTTAGCCGTGCATCTAGAATCTAGAATCAAACTTCTTTTCCTCCTTTGTGCACTATGTTTTGACCCTCCCCCTCTTTGACCTCCATTGAGATCCAAAGTTTTTTCTATATGGGCTCAACCAACGGCACCTATTAGGGCAAATGTTAACCACTGCTCTGCATTGTATAGCGCGCTATCTAAACTTACTATTTGAACCTTATTTTCGCAGCGGGTGATAGGACGTGATCGCTCACTCTGGCGAAACCCTGCCCGATAGGAGATTACGTCAAGGTTTGATAAAGAACTAAACAAAATTCCCCCGGGACAGATATTGTAGGAAGTAAACAGCTACACCAACTAACCTTAAGACCACCGGGACCATAGAGGATAAACCAGCCAAAGTGAGGTTTTTCTATTTCTTCTAGCCCTGGTTGGGAGGCGCCAATCTGGACATACAACGATGTTTCCTGGAAACTGGGTGCCTTGGGGGGAATAAGGAATTGTTTCCTCTCCCGGGGAGGATCGTGTTTGACTGCTCCCGCATAAAATTTTTGGTCCCCCCACCATAGCTTGGGTGTTGGGAAGGATGGGAGAAAAGAGCTTGCAGCAAAAAGAATAATGGGATAAAATTCTAACTAAATGTATATGACTGAAATTCTCGATTTTTAGAAATATCTTTGCTTTCGATTTAAATTGATGTCAAAAATAAAATTATCATCTTTTTCCTCCCATGTTCCTAGCCCAAACCAGGATGATTTATGCGAAAGTGCCACTATTACCGGAGGAAGAAACAACCGTGCTTCCGGCTACTGGATGTTCTAGTTTTCTAGACTTTCGGGTTGGTTATAATGGGGAAAGAGATCAGTCATCTAAAGGCCTTCTATAGAGAAATTTACCGGTAAAAATTTGTGGGCATACTAATTTCTCTATTACAGATCACCTACCCAGGGCTAGTTAGTACCGCCGGAAACAGCGGTGGAATGACTCATAGTTCCGGGTACAGCATTGCCCATTTCAGGGTGAAGTACATGAGTGCTGAGACCAATCTATAGATTACTGCAAGCTGGGTAAAATCTAACAATCATGAGGATAGCAGCTCCCACTGGGCGCTAACAAGTATAGTATGAGAGGGTAATACCTAGGGGCAAATGTGTTCGATTTCCAAGTCGTCAAATAGCTCACTTGATCGATTTGATATCCTAATACGAAGAGTAAATTCTAATTTGTCTTGATGATAAAGGGAGAGACAAGGCAGTTCTGTGAATTTACAATCGGGAAATTGGGAGCAGCTTAATTTTTCTACCGCATGCACAGGTACGGGTTTTGTATCCTCGAACTGAGAAAGCAAGGAAGATAGAAGGTACAAATGAAAGCCGGGGTTGGAATCATATGAGGGACTTGGAAGAGAGGGAAAAACCTGAAAGATCTCGGCAGGAGTGGAGATATGAAAAATTCGGAAGGGCAATGAAGTGATAAGGAAAGGAGTCAACCGGGGTCGAATATGGTATACTTGTAAAGATATATCACTAACTGAGAAGAGATGAGAATAGGCAAATGGGGTCCAACGGGGCCCGGTAGCGAAGAGAGCAGTGAGAAAAAGGACGGGTAAGGGAGGCTAGATGAAAAGAGACCAGCATGCATGGTGGGCGAGAATTAAAATCCAACTAGATGAGTGAATGATAAGGTATGGAGAGGAAAATACGGCAAATAACGGGGGGAACTGGGTTCTTGTAGACGCAAGGACGCATAAATTTAGAGGCACCGTTGCTAGTAGTGTGCCTCGTCCAAATCCTTGGGATATAGTATTACTGGCGTTGTAGGCAAATCCCCCCTTTCTTCAGTCATATTTATATCCCTCCATCCGGCTGATAATCCGCAAACTCCTCTGGACCCGCTGCTTTTAATTAGATTTATTCAGTAGCTTGGACTGTATAATAAGAGTGCACACTTTACCATTTCCCTTCATCGGAAATTTATACAAACATCGGCGTGCAGCAGGAATCCCCCTCTTCCTCCCCATTCCGTACCCCTGCTGATGAATGGTTAAACCTCCATTAAAAGTTGCCGCAATCCCATTGGAAATAGAGTCGAAAGATTCACTTTGCGGCTGGGACAGATGAATGTCCTATCAAACTTGATCGCCGTCATATTCCGGTCACGGGCTTGGTTGGCCAAGTGGGCTTCTTCGGGATTGGGATTGGGCAGGTAGGTAGGAAGTACCGGACCAAGGAACTCATCTCAAGAATCAGGATTTTGTGTTTCCGTGACAGCACGGATCCAAAATTTGACTCTAACTCCATAGCTTTATCTTAGGTGTACGGTCCGTCTCCTTCCAGATGTCGGCTCAAGCTGCTCGGTTGCCCTTAGGCCTTGATCTAAGTCCATGGTTTTGCCTTGGTTACCGAATGGGCCTTTCCTTCCGCGATTCATGGCCAATTCCTTCAGCTTTTCCCTGCCCATACTTGAGAGCTATAAGTTTTGTTAACGAGCTCAATGTGCGCTGCGGATGGATGTAAACGTAATGATCTGTTCAGATGAGAGAAGAAAAATAATTGTGATTGCTTTTTAACTTCGTTTTGCTCACCACACCAAATCATCTGTTTCACTAAATTCCACCACATCTTTGCATGTTCACCACCAAGGACCTTTCAGCACCAAAAGGTTTCGGGGAAGGCCTCGAGGGATCTCAAAAGAAAAGACCGCCAGCTAACTATTACCCCCTTAGAGGCAAAAAGAGAAGAAATGGCTGTTAAAAATAGAGATAGTGAGTTGCGGCTGGTCATGGAAGGCATGGGAAGGATGCTGGGAAGTCGAAGTTGTTTCTGGATATCATGAGAGTATGTTTGATTGCTTGGAAGTATGGTAGATTTCTCTGGAGGTTGGAAGAGGGTTCTAGAGGTATGCTTTTCCTTCGTTATCATGGAAGTGTGCGGAGGAACTTGGAAATGTGTGGAATCATGGAGAGGATGCCCTTGTGAACCATGGAGGGATCGGATTGTTTGGACGATGTTTTACTTATACACCTGTCATTACCGATTAGCTATGAGGAGCGAGTCCGAGTAGTAACAAAACGAAGTTTATACCTTTCCTAGCTATCCTATTATGATACTATGAAGTCCCGTCCTTCTCCGCTTTTTTTACCGCTGCGCTATTAGGTATCGACCTCTCCTCCAACAAAAAAAACCTTCGAATTGGGCCTTACTGCGGCACCTCAACAGACCCTACCCAATAAACCTCAATACCTTAGGTTTGCTGGATTATAAGCAAAACTGGCCCAAGCATCCCGGGATAAATTCTGCAAGCTCCTCTCCCGCAAATTCACCTAGGACACAAAATCCTGAGTCACATCCCGCAGGTGCTTCCTTCCCATAACCTCGATAATCTAATCCTCAAATGGGAACACAGTGTGAATTTGTCCACCATTCGTGGGCACCCGTGCCATGTGTAGCCAGGATTACTTTGCCCTCATCCTTGATTTTCGTGCTACAAGATTTTTTTTCTAGTTCCCATGTCCACTGCCCGGTATTATAAGCCTCTAGAATCCCCTGGCCGTATGCAAGCTATTAGTGAGAAGTGGACTACTATTCTGGGACTTTTGTGGATATCGCAAATACAATAGCCCCGAGTGAGATTATGTGAAAGTGGCTGGCAACCGTAGATCGCTTTTTTTGTGACGTGCAGGTGTTCCTGGAAATTTACTGCCTAATACTATCAAGCGGTGGGGTGGGTACCCAGTTTGCAGTGATTTTTTTTAAATTCTGGGATCCGAAACAAAGCCAGAACTTCCACTTCTACTAAATCTGGTTACATAGTACTAAATTTACTTAGTGGGAGAAAGCCTACCAAAGGTTCATACCTCAGATCAAAAAACCACCCTAGCTTTTCGCCATCTTTGGGTCTTCTGTCCTGAAACCTATAGGATGGAGCAAACCATTGCGCCTCAGAGCCCCCTATCCCTCGGAACCATGACTTTTAAAAGGGAAAAAAGAAAAGGCCCAGAGAAACCTGGCGGGAGTGCTCATTATTTATTCAGTCAAGATATAGTGCTACCAGCCTCCCCATTGGGCTTGGGGTTTGGAACTGAATCATCCCAATCATCCCAGCCATCATCGTCACCACCCTTCTGTTTGTTGGCAAGTTCGTCCTCTGGCGCGCTCTCATCATCGGAATACTGATCCTGCCGATCCCACTGTTCTCTATTGTTAGCGGATTGTTTCGACAGGGGGTTGGGGTGGGGGACCCGTACATCTGGTAAGATCGCACCAAGCAGGATCTTCGGTAGCTGTCTCCCCAAAAAGAAATATGAAGTCAGTGTGGCTTCTGTTTCAATCCAATGGGCTTATAGAAAGGAGCGCTATAACATACAACAAACCATTTATCGTCCTCCAGCTGTCGTTTGAGATCTCGCTCGACCGGCAGCACGTCAATGAATTCTCCGAGCTCCTTATCTCGGTCTAACCCTTTCAATAGTTTCGCTGCACCGGGGTCGTTTCCGACGCGTGAGAATTGGAATGTTACGGCTGCGAATCCCTTGTAAGAATTGGAATAATAATAAATCTTTAAAGCCCTACAACAGACTAACCTTCAAACCCTTTCTTAGCCTTTTTGCGTTCATTGACACAATCCCGAATGACCTTCTTTAGACAGCCTTTTCTCTCACCCTCAACCTGTTTTCCAATAGTTACTATATAGTCTTAGGAATTCTTGGAGGAATACATACCGTGCCATCAGTGACAATTAGCACCAGCAAAGGTTTCTTCTGATCGCCCCCCCGGATTATGAGGGGGTCTAGGATTTTATTCTTAAGCTCTGTTCCTATCCTTGTCACACCGCCAGCTATGTTCGTATCTAGAAATGCTTTCGACGAATCCCCACTCCAGTTTCTCCTGCCTGGGTGGGCGTTCATGAAACGCAGGGCAAGGAAGCCATCTCCCTTTGCCATAGAATAGATTTTCGTGATGTTGTCGACATATTGTATCAGGGTCTCCTTCCTAGTGCCCCCTTCTTCTTCTATGATAGTATCCGAGTCATCTATACATCCACCCAAGAGTAAGCAAAATGAATCCTAAGCCTATAAGCCATTACCAGAACCTACCGATTAAAATGGCCAGATTATAAAGCGTCAGCACAGTTAAAGCTTTCGCAACCTCGTAACCGCATCCCATTTCCTGAATCAATATTTCGGCCATTTCCACCCCCCTTTTAATTTCCTCCTTCAGTCTGTTATCCAGCCCTTGTTTCCCGTACATATTTTGCAAGCCTTTTCGGTGGGTCAATATCACCTCCTTGAGTTTTTGGCCAATCTCCGCAGCGGTGGGGACCTTCTTCGGCTTCTCGTTTTTGCTTGAATCTTTCTTCTTTCCCTCCTTTCCCTCCGTTTCCTCCTCTTCTTCTCCCTCTTCTTCCTCCTCCTCTTCCTCCTCCTCTTCCTCTCCATCTTCTCCAAATTCTTCCTCTTCTTCCTCTTCTTCCTCTCCCACCTGTTTCTTCTTTGTTTCTTCCGCTTGCCTTCTCCATCCTTCTGTTTGAGCTTTGGGCGGCATTAGGTAGTCTGGTTTGTAGGGGCCTCGCAGGAGCAGTAAATAGAGGTGGCTCTAGATGATTAGTAAAAGACGAGAGAGAAGAAAAGCAACCTCCAAAATGTGGGCTACCTCGATATTTATCAAGATATGAAACCGGTGATCACCTCAGGAGCTACATATCCTATTTCACTCTAGCCCCACCCCACCCCTCTCCCCACCTGAGTTGCTCTATTGCCGCTCCACAACCAATCGGTTAGTGGTTGGTCGCCTGAGCCCGAGCTTGAACCTACTCGCCAATCAGTTTATGGAGAAAGTGGGAACTCCGTGGTAAAATCATGCGCAGCCAGCGATGTTCACACATCGATAAACCACTCGTTAGCAGTCCGTCTGCATACCAATGATTCAGAATGCGCCTATTCCCCAATCCAAGATTGATCAGTACTCCAACCCCTGCAGAATCTCTGGTACTCCGGCTCTTCTGTGGGTGCTTGTGCATACGCAGGTGTTTTCACCAACGGGGCATGCTGAGCTCTCTTTTTCTCCAGTGAAGAACGCGAAACAAGGAGAGGACCGTCTCAGAAAGCTCACTTATGGAGACTACCCTCCCATTTCGTCGCTGGACAAAGATGCTACTTGTTTTTACTGACCGCGCAGGCTCGCTGCTCAGTACCGGTATTTTGACTAGCTAAAGGTGCGTATCAAGTACTATGCCTCTATGTCCTTACAAGGAGTGCTGGATTTCCAATCTGTCACGAAGTTAGGACATATGCAGCTATCGGGCTTGTGACTTTGAGGTGCGCCGTGGTTAGGCTTATGGAAGTGGTTGGATGTTTTCACGTTCCATGCTGGTAGGCATAAGATTTCGGCTCTTTGGCTCGGCTGATACCCGTTTCCGTCAGTCGGGTATTGGCATTTGGCTTAGTTCATTTGCACTTTGTGCGGGTTGGCATAGGCCCTTTGGTTGTGTGTGGTCCGCTGTTCGCTCCTGCAGGTGTTGGGCACGGGGAATTGGCTTCGTGATTTGGGTAGTTGTGGGTAGTTTGGGGTAAAGGAGGCTTACGAATGGTGATGATGGTGTTTTCCGGACTATGGTTCTCTAGAGTTCGTTGGGCTTCATTCGGTTTCCCGAGTTGTTAACTATACGGAGTTATATATCTCCTACATTATCTTTGGCTAGCATCGCTATTGATCGTCTAGTTCACCATCCTTCTATGCCAAACTACGTTTAGAGACTATCGTGATTGCCCTTTCATTGCTTCAACCTTTGGTACTCTTCTTTACGCTCTATCAAGGATAGCAGGTAAAGCAGAAGAAGAAGAAATTATCATGAATATATGGCTGAGTGTAAGTTGGGTCTACGGCCAGCCCTTTTCTGCTTTTGTCATGGTACTCTATGTTGGAGATGCGAAGAGGTGGGGAAGTTGGTAGGGAAACAAGGGACACTAGCGGGGAAGGGGAACTTGAATACCAGCACTATAGGACGGGAGCACTCTGGTGCGTTACTGTACGGTACAGTGCGGGTGAATTTTCGGGGGCACCTAAAACACACGATGTCTCGCCGGCCCCTTCTGGGATTTCTCTAATCCCAAATATTTTTCACCAATAGCATCCAGCCAAAAGCGCTTAACGCCACAACAAATGTACTCATCCCTCCTGAACCATCCGTGTGAAGCGAGCATGATGGTGATTTACGAGGTTGCCCACTTATCGCACTATATCACGCCAATCGAAATGTAGGTAAACTTCACTTTAGGTGAAACACCGAGCAACTGGCCACGTACCAAGCTTAAGCCTAATCCTTGGGTGATACAAGCACGAGTGATTCTCGGATGCCTAATTCAACATCGCGCCATTTTGTTTGTTTTTTGCCATCAGCAACTGGACTGTGATTCACCAACACCTATCAGGAATGGTGCTGGTGTTTCGTCCTTCCTTTTTGCCCTTTGGGTGCCGGATATGATTTTTGCATTGGGTACCGATACGATATCGACAAGGCTTCCGCTTTTAATGGTAGCAGTGTTCTAAATAGATTCACCATTAATGGAGACTTTGGTGGTGTCATCTTCATGTCATGGGTTGAACTTCCCTCCTCCTCTGCATCACGAGAGGTGCAGGGGTCAATTTTTTCATATTGAATGCTCAAGATTTTCCGCTCCATCACCCCCCAAGGAATCATTTGCGATGACTTTATTGGATATGGTGGAGTCCCGCAAGCACCTCATCGATCGGAAGTCTGATATTGTTATCCCCTAAACCGCTGAGACATCCAGCCCAATTTATAACGTTGAACACTAGCTTATTTTGGTAACCGTGATAGGAAAAACTTCATGGTCCTGAAGTACTGCAGTGCTTGGAACACCATACCGCAGAATCCATAGCTCAGCATGGTTGTGACAAAAATGACTGAGTCTGCATAGATTAACTCCCGATTACTCAAAAAGGCTAGTGTTTAGCATTCCAAACAGAGCTGAACGTCTCAGTTATTTAGGGGATTGGCATTTGGGAAAAATGCGCCATAGCAGAGTGGGCCCAGACGCCCAGGATCCTGTGTACTCGAGTGCCCAAATGATAATAGCTCCCATAGTACTAGCACAATCAATACCAAAGAACAACCTGCTCTCGCAATCACGTCCCAACAAGAATACCCACTGATACTGGGGGGTTTGATACCTAAGAGTGGGGTTTCGTGGTTCGGATGTGCACTCGAATCCCCCTGTCCCGGGTCTCGATAGCACAGATATCTCGCCGCTCCGTGTGAAATGCTGTGAATCCAAAAGTTTTCCACAGCAAACTTGACTCGTCGTTTCGGATAGCCGGTTTCGCCATACTCGTACATGTACCGTACAGTAATTTAGCCCTTTCTGAGCATGCCGAGACAAGCCCCTGGGAAATTTCATGCATCTCCCCGCAGAATTATTTACGTTGGAAATTCCACGGATGGTTGTCAACATAATCCCTAGATTTGTGCTCCTGGATCTTTAGCAACTTGTACGAGTACATATAAAGTACTAGGACAAAAAGGATCGTCCGATGCCCTTTTTACACCAAAAGTGCCCATCTTGACCACCCTCTCTCATCACGCAATGTCTATGAGAACCTGTGCAAATTTGTCCATGCATTAGTAAACCTGTAGATAACATGAAAAATATCACAGAATCCTTAAATATTATAAAGTGATGGAGAAAAGGTTATTTAAGTTTCTGGTATCGGTTGCCACGTACTTTTTTGTATGGAGCCCCATACAAAAATTTAGGTCACTTTCATGATGGTTGATGCAATCATGAACAATGAAGACAGCTTTGATTCCTTACACTTCTACTTGTAGAGATTGGAATAGATGGTCATTCCCTAGCCGATGAAATGATTTGAAGTGCTTTCATATAAGCAGTGTTGAGAATTGTCCATTTAAAAATATCCATTTTTGGTGTGAAAAGGGCATCGGACGATCCCTTTTGTCCCCGTACTGTACTTACTTTATGACAGGGTTGGCACAGAAAGTGTGGGGTCGGGTGGCCTTTTTTCCCCTGCATATATTTTGTCTGTGTTGGTGCGTTATCACCAGGTATCAAGCACAATAACCAACCAATGGTAAAATATGTCCAATCCTGTCTAATAAGTCCTCGTACGGTTACCAGCAAGCACACTACACACAAAGCGAAAGCAATTGAAAGCACAAATTTATAGGTAACCATTTTATAAAATTATAGCTGGTAGAAAAATCTGATATTTCGCTATTATCCAACTTTGGTAAATTCTTACAAAGTAGAGAAGTCAGGAGAAAATCAGAAGCGTAAAACATAAAATTAGTCTAATAGGTTCAGCTAGTATGATACATAGCAATTTTTCTAATTTTGATTTTGTATGCAAATTACATTCAATTTACTGTTCAAAACCTGCAAATAAGTAGTGAACTGTATTCTGTAACCTACATGCTAATAACCTTATTTCTAGGGTTTTTATATTAAATCTTCTACGACAGTTAGTCTAGTCTAATGTTTGTACTAGCTAAATATTTTATTGTTGACTGTGACAAAGCACAATTCCATATATTATTTTGAAAGTTAGTTACTACCTGTCACAAACTGTGACTAAGCAAGGCAGATTTCACGTAGCTCAGGATTCTGAGCTATCCCTTAAGCCGTCGAGACATTCCGGTCCATTTTAAAATCTGTAACACTACCCTATTTGAGTAATCATGATAGGAAAAACCTAGTTGTACGAAAGAAGTGTAGTTCTCAGAATACCTCAAAAGATGTACTTCTCAGTATGACCATGATGGAAACAAGACACTCTGCGTAGATTTACTCCCAATTACTCAAATTGGCTAGTGTTACAGATTTTAAAATAGACCGGAATGTCTTGACGGCTTAAGGGATAGGTATGTTGGAATCTCACATGATGCATACTAGTGCACCATAGATTATTATGTTTACCTGTTCGTGACTCACAGTTGTGAGTTATACCATGTTATCATTTTCACACATGACTGAAATTATGAGTTGTGAGTTTCACTCAGGTGATGCGAGTTGTGCACCTGACTTGGTTATTATGTTTTGATTGGTTTAAGGTACATTGCACAGCGACTCATAGGAGTCAGCTAATGGATCTCATATAACTCATAGTTTTGAGTCATAAGGTTCGTGTGATGTGAGATATGAGTTACACCAAGTGAAGAACGACTATATAAAGGGTCACTAGGATCCTGAGTATGAGCTCTTCATACATTCTTCTAACTTATTTCCTACACTTGTTATTTTATAATAAAACCTCTTCACGCTCTCTACTCTACTTTGAGAAATCTAAGAACTATTTTGCCTTCTATGATAAAAGACTAAGTCCTACATGAGGACTTAGAAGATTAAGACTGAGGAAATAGGTGCGACAAGATAGAAGTCAAAAGAACTTGACTATCAACGTTGCGTAGGCAATGGCCTGAGAACTATTACCTTATCATGAAGTAAGGATCATTACCTGTCACCACCCTGCACCTGGTAGGATTCTTAATACTACTACTATTATAC